TATTGACAGGGCATGTGTCTGATCCTCCTGTGTCCCAGTCTCATCAAACTGCCAGTCTCTCGGAGGAAGAAAAAGAGAAACAGCAGTTAGCATCAACATTGTTTGTTGGACTAGGGTCAAATGCTGGTGTCAGTCTGGTAAGTATGTTTATTTTGTTGATCTACCAGTTTGAAGTTTCTATATGTCCTTATTTACAGTTACTGATTTTATCTCTACTTCCCTCTGTTTCCATGCTCTGCTTATGATTCTTTTCTCAGACTTTTTCCAAGGATAACTGTTCTTTGACCAAACTTAACAGTCATAAAAATTGCCCATTTGGCAATAAGGCTAAAGTATGGCACCCAATGTCAATACTTCTTTTTTTTATGGTAATATGCAGAAGATTACAGAATTCACCATTAGGTAATCTTTTTAATAGTGGCCTAATCATATCTGCCAGCTCAAATGTTGGTATTTACCATTGTTTTAATGAGATCCTTTTTAATGTCATCTTCTATTTTATGAATTAGATGGCTGAGAGTCATTTTTGCATTACAGACTCTCCCAGTGCCCTGCAAGAAATTTAACATAAACCTTTTGCTTTATTCTTTAAAATGTTTATAATCCATTTGCGTTTGTTGTCTGAACTATTGTTCATTATTTGTCCTTGCTCTTTCTGTTTCATTCTGTTAATAAGTATGCAGCTAATCTGTAGAAGCAAAAAAATCCTTTTTATTTTCACTCCTCTTTCTCTTTTCAGATGGGGAAAGCAGACATGGCTCCTCAGAAGTTCAGAAGAAAATCAAAGATGAATGAAACTCAAAACACCGAAGGGACACCGGACATCCAGAATAGTGCTGCGCTGGCCCTTGGTCCCTTGCTTGATGCACTACCTGGTAACGAGGAAGGCTGTGAGGGCGTTCAACATGCAAGGTTAAGGGAGGCCTCCCTGTGTTGTTCGGATACTGTGGAAGATAGTTTAGCATCTGAAAAACCTCAGTCCTTAAAACATGGACTGGATAACAAACTTTTAGATAGTAGGCTGTCATCGTCCTCTTTGTTTGCTGATAGTAATATTGAAATTTTTCATCCTTTGCCAAGTGCTGAATGTGAAAGCGCCAGTAAAACCCTGTTGGCCCCTTCCTTACCAGGAGAACTAGCAAAACTCCCTCACTCTGAAGTAGTGGAACTTTGTCAGAGTGATGATCTAGCTCTACATTCGTGCAAGGTGTGGACAGATGACTCTCTGCTGCTTGCAATGTTTGTTTCAAATAAAAACACTTCTGCACTTAATTCTGTGAACCTAGTGTTTGAAGAAGCAGAACATTTTCAGGTAAGAAAGCGCTTCAAGCGTATTTCAAATTCATTTGGAATTCTTGCTTTAATCCGCATTTAACTACAGCATATTTTCTTCAGTATAATAGCCATGTCTCTTCTCTTAACCTTTTCCTAAAAACCTGTTTTATGGCTATTTCACACATTCTAAGGGGTAAGGAAAACTCAATTGTATACTCCAGGTCATTTGATATATTGCCATTTCTTCCTTCACACACAAAAAGATGTGCAAGCTTACCTCAAGTTTTGATTGTTATTTTCAAAGGCATCAATCATATTTCACTCAGTTGATACTGGAGAGGAGTCAGTTTTGCTGTGTGTGTGATACAAATAAGGCTGATGAAAGCATGTGGTGAAGTCTTTAGAGAAACTTCATGTAAATAATTTAAAAGCTAATTGGGAATGGTATATCAGCATGCTTATCTGTGGATTTTAGTGAATTACTGACAGAACTATAAAAACATTAAGGCACTAAAAAAGTGATAACCAGACAAAGGGAATTGACCAAAATGCTTTTTTAGAGCTGCTAATGGGTTATGACTTTTTTTCTGATGGTTTTGGGCTTGTATCAAATCTGTCATGGCATTTGTAGAAGATGAACGTAGTTTGTCTTTCTGTTCCTTGTAACTCATTTAACATTCCACATAAATATTACACTTTTTTTTTTAATGTGTATAGATTGCGGAGAGTCCAGCCTACCACTTCTCTGTAATAGAAGCTCAGAGCATGGAATATTGCCAGCAATGTGTGCAGATGGACAAAATCTGTACACAGGGCATTCTTTCTGGCTCCATTAGTTACCAGTCAGAGATGGAAACTTGTCTTCAGTTTTCAATCATTTTATCATTGTTGGACTTCATCAGGTAAATAGAATGAGCTGCCATTTTCTAAAATGCATGTGGTCGAATAAATATTAGATAAGTGCAGGGAGGGTTTGGTGTTGAGTGTGAAATACAACATTTAATCTATGAGCAGCAGATTTCAATGAATTTGAGATTACTGTTAATGATGAATGTTTATTTTTACATTTAAAAGGGGAGATAGGGAAGATGAATTCCAGAAAGAAATGCAAATCCTGTAAAGATATTGACTGTATCTGCAGTTTAGAATATTCTTAAAATAAGAATAATTTTTTGAGCAGGTTATTAGAACTGAGTGAACAGAAAGCTAAGAAGGATATATTGCTTTAGAATATAGCAACAATTAAACCACTTTGGTTTGATCCATTATTTGAGAAAACTTTTTTTTTGGCGGGGGGAGGGAATGAACACTTTTTAATAGCAGGAAGAAAATAGTTTTTTTCAGGTAGACTTTTTGTTTCGTGACTTTTCTGACATGGTGAATTTCACCCTGTTTTCCATGCTTATTTGTATGCAGTTATTTATAACATTTTTTAAAATTGTCTTAGCAAGCAAGCATCTTAAGGTAGTTGACTCTTTTATTTACTTTGATCAAATGATCTAAACTAAAAAAAAAAAGGAGCTTGTTTAGACAAAGCTACATTTGGTTATTGCTTGTGCTATTGTCCACTTGCTTTTTAGATGCAGATCTTTTTGGAAGACCAAGTATATCCTGAGTAATATGTCTTATTTGACTGAGATCTGTGGTTAACTTATTTTTAGGCCAATGGAAATGACTACAGAAGAATTTGGGAAGCTGTGGCTGTCCCTTTCTAATGATGTGAAACAGAATTTAAAACTGTCGTCTTCTCAAGATTCCTTTTCAGCAGCTCTGAATACACTGCAACAGAAGTTAAAACTCCATGTAGTTGATATTATAGGTGAGTGAAGTTACATTGTAAGGTTGTTACGATCTGCAAATTGTTACAGGAAAATGTGTGTGGCAGCAAGTACATTACAGTCTACATTTGGGAGCATGCTAAACCTTACCCAGGGGCATTTTGCTGTGGACTTTAATGGCCTTATTTGGGGGATCTGTGTAACGCTGAAATCTCAGGGTACTAGTGTACAGAAAACAGCAACTTTCACAGGTAGCAGGCTATTTGTACCACGATTTCCGAAGGGTTTTGGAGGGGAGAAAAAAGTGCAGGTGAGAATTTATGGCAGAAGGTACGAAGCCAGGATTGCATGCAACAGGCGTGACTCAGGGTGATAAAGAAGCAGCAGGCAAGAGTAGAAGAGAACAGAAGAAACGGCTTTGAAAATAAGAGTTTTTGTGAACTATACATCTATAATCTATACAGTTGCTACATCTAATTATTATTTTTCTCAATTTGTCCATGGCGTCTTGTTATTTTAAGGTAATGAGGGAATACTGGCATGCCGGTTGCTTCCCTCCGTGCCCTGCCTGCTGCATTGTCGTACTCATGCAGGGATGCTGGCTGTGTGGTTCAGATCGCCTTGCTCTGCTCTTCCAGATTGTTTGCTCTATCAGTGCCAAAAGGTGATGGAAGAATCCTAATAATAACAGTGCCTGTTTTCATCTCTCGGTATATGAAAAGCAAATGGAAGATTTACACAGTTGCACAATAATTACCAAAGCTAAATTAAGATACTAATTCTCCGAAGTATAAAAGGTTTCTTGAACTGGCATATGTCATGTGGACTTCTGGAGGCAAATGATGATGTGAAGTATGCTTGTAAAACCATACTCAGGATTGTACAGTCACTGACAAGTCATCTGCTAAAGTATCATTACCTGTTTAAGTGAAATGTATATTTCTTTTGTTGTAAATGATCAAAAGTATTTATTTTTATTATGTGACTTTTATAGATGCTAAGAGTCATTCCTCATAGAAACTGTATAATGTCATTTTAAGGAAAATGTATCTTTATTGTGAGATCGGACTTGAACATTTATCAGGATCTTCTCACTTTATTTTAACAGTTTTTCTAAAGCTGTATTATAAACACTGCAAGCAACAAGGCCTGTATCAGTTGTTGTGTGAAGTACCTTATATGCGAACAAATGTGTGATTTGAAAAAAATTAAAAGATTTCAGTGAGAAATACACTTCCCATGATCTTTGGCATCACCGTTCAGGTATTTAGTGGTAATCTCTAAATAGGGTCCTGGTAAGGCAGGCACGGGAAGTGGAGGTTGTTCTCAAGTGCCTTCCGGGGACAACGATCAGGGCTCTTGGGGTTGGTTCCTGTCTGCGCAGATCCCTTCCTGCATCTCGTCCATCCCGTTGCCTTCGCCTAGGGCTCTGCAGCAGTTTTGGAGTCTCGGTGCATTTTCAAAAGGAAGTTTCACGTGGATGGAGCCTGAGACAGCTGAGCTGGGTAGCTGGGTGCCACTGAGCGGCCATATTCAGAGTTCTCCAGCCTTAATCCTATATGTTTAATTTGGATAATATCCCTGTCCATGAAATACAGTTTCTAGGGAGGAAACTGTTGTTTTTTTTTTCTCTAATTCTTTAGTAGCTTGCCAATGAGGCTGTGCAAATCTTGAGTGGTTTGGATTTGGCTCTGTTGTGGGTGTGTGGCTAGGACTGCTGTAAGGCAGCTGAGATCCAAATCAGTCCAGCACGAGTGCTGAATGTGTCTGGATATACCTCACAGGCTTGAAAACCTACTCATTTTTATTTATTTAGACAGCACATGAAACAGTATCTTTCTAATACTATTTACCATTATTTATAACTGTTTATTTTTTTATTTATAAACTTAAGATTGTACAAATATTTCTCATAGGTGTCGTATAAATAGGTTCTGCATCATTTTATTCTTTCTGTTTTTAATTCTGAAGGGAATTTTTTTGTAGTATTACAGCTTTATCGTGCTCTCATTTTAAAGGAAAATATTTTGTTAATTTGCTAACGTTTAGCTAACAGCTCATGAAATCAGAGTAAGAATACAATCTGTATATGCTGTTAGTCAACTGATGTGAGTTTTCTTTGTTCTTTTTGTGCTTTTGGGCTTTTTTCCAGCTTTTTTGGGTAGCATTCTAGCCATTTTTCTTTCTTCTTTATGTTTTCTCATATTTTTAAATGTTTTTGCATTTTTTTTCTGGGTGGGTTTTTGCAGTTTAAAGTATTAACGCCACTTTTTGCATTGTCACAAATACAGTCGCATAAAGCTCCTTCACTGTTGTTTCAATACCCTTTTACTGAGGGATTTGAAGTGCACTGAACATGTAAATATATTTTAATGGTCTGCTTGCTTTAATCATGTTTACTTAATGCTTCATGAGGGTTTTATATAAGTAAAAACTGATTTGTAGTGGAAAAATCGCCAGCATACTCTTTCTGTGATGGTAAATCAGACTTGTGAGATGCAGCTGGCCTTTTGTGTTCATGTTATAGAAGTGTCTGTTTCTGGCTGATGCATTTACACCATTTCAGCAATGAGGTCTTGACTGTCTTTTTCTTTGAAAATAATCACAAAAGACACTAATGCCTTCAGTTGTCTAAGCTCTTTACAGCCTTTCTCACTGTAAGGAATAGTGTGTGTTAAACTGTAAATATGCAGATTCTCAGAACATAATCGGGTTTTATGCTATTGTTGCATAAAGGCTTTTGCAGGAACTTTTACCTGTAATACAGCCTTTATTGTCAGATTGTCCAGCAAACAGCTTAATCTCACTATGTTTCCATTTCTTGTAGTTTAATAAAATCAAGTTTAATACAATTTTCTGCTTAGTTTTCATTGAATGTTCTTTGCAACCAACATGTGGTAGGGTTTCTGTCTTTTAAGAACTAAGTTCTACTTAAATTATTTCTTTCTGCAGCTAAGCAGTGATGAGGAGTGTTACATTGTGGAAGCTTTGCTCATCTCGCGTGTTTCAACTGAAGGTGTAAAAGGCCTGAAAGAAGACCCTGGAGATCTCTGGAGTAGTGGTTTGTGTGCCACCTCACATGAACCAGTGTGCGTCTGGTTTTCGAATAAGTCAGATTGCAGGATTTTAGGCATTGCTGACTGCACCAGGATATCCCAATGCAATGTTAACATAGCATGTGGCTTTTGTAGTGTTGAGAAGAGTTGGAGTTTGGGAATGGAGGGGCTGCCCTACGTTGTGGGGCCCTGGGCGCAGGGCTGTGTGTGGGCCAGGGGTGGAACGAGCAGGTGCCGCCCTGCGCTTGTGGCACAGGGGAAGTTCTGGGTGTCCTCGAGCCTCTGCAAATCGGTGCTGGGAATCCCTCTCATTCTGATCCATCGTACAGATGCCTCTGTAAAGTAGAACATAGCTGCTTAAGCAGTTCGACAAAGAAATACTCTTGCATCTACTTTTGTATGGAAAGTCCTTTAGAAGTTATGTTAATCTTCTGAGTTCTTCCATAAGCAACATGTTAGTATGTTAGGAAAAATAGTGCTAAGAGGGAATTTGTTCTTTTCAGAAGGAAATGTATGACTTGATTTCTTCCCATTTACTTTTCTTTGACTTACTAGTCCTTGAAGTGTTAACCTTTTTTCTGGGAAAGGGAAATAAGATGGGCAGATGTAAGCTGGAATGAACAAGGCATGTAGTTCTGTTAACATGAAAGTCTATTTTCAAGAAGCAGCTAGAGGCCGCTCAGAGCACCCTGACCTTTCTGAAGTGCCAGCTTAGCAGCAAAATTGTGACAAAAAGCCCATGTACGAGGAGGCTCCAGCTGTCCCTCTGTGCTATGGGCACCTTGGGGTTATGGACAATTCGAAAACAAGAGGTGAGTGATGATCTTGGATCCACATGGATTACTTTAGTTGTTTCGGTTTCCTTTCTTCAAATATTTAAAAAAGTGGTAGAGGGTTTGAATAAGAAAATAGGTCCAAGTGTTAAATGGCAGTATGATGCAGTATGTTTGCCTAAACATAGATTAAATCCCCCATTACGTTATGTTACTTTCTGTAAAGTGCTCCAGCTCCCTGCTTGTCCTGTAAGGAACAGAAAAAGTGACTGATGGCCTGCAGTGTTTTGAGATTATTCAGCAAATAGGCCTTAAATTATGTTACCTATTGGCTTCTAAATACTGGAAAAAGAATAATCTGTTTTGGAGTCCCATTAGGAACTTGTTTTCAGCATGAAAAACAGTATTTTCTGTGTGGGTATGAATATGCATTGTCTTTTTTTGGCATCAAAGCTCATAGTATTACATGAGAAAATGGCAGGAGACCTGCCTGGGTCTTGCAGTTAAGACTTGCTTTTGCAGATCTGTTGCTGGGATAGAGTTAATCAGGTCTAACCTTCTGGGGTTTTGTGGGGGGAGGCGGTCAGTCATTTATATGCTCTTCTGTACAAATATTTCCTGACATTTAGAAATAACTCGATACTCTTCTGTGGTTCTCATACAAATTCAGTAAGAAGCTAAAAGTGGCCACTCCCTTGAGAGTTTTTTTGAACTTTAACATTTTTCTGTTTGCTCAATAAAGTTGGCAGTGATGAAGCAAAAAATATTGTCTTGCCATGATATGATTCATAACATTCATCTGAGAGCAGTGTTTTACCAGCAGCATGGCACTTATTGAGATTGCCTTAAGACTTTTATTTTAAAATAGTGTTCAGCTTTCTCTATTTGTGCCAATCTTTAATTGCTTCCAGTGTTATTGCCATGTGAGTTGTTTGCAAATCCTGAAATCTTTAAGCCAAAGTAATTTGTCTTTTCTGGGAATAAGAGTAAGAAAATTTATGCTTGTTGATATTAGTGCATTTGGGTAAGTTCTAGCATTTCCATGTTTAGAGCAGGGATCTGAAATCTGTCAGGGATGTGTCCTTTTTCCAACACTTAGCTAAACCAAACCAAATGCATAGCTAAAAGTTTTCTCTTGAAGCGCTGAGCTACCTGAGTTTCTGTCCATCTACCTATCCTTCTTTTTTTCACAAAATCCTGTGTTTATAAACCATTCTGGTTGCGCAACTGAAGATGTCAAAGCTCAGACTATACCCAGCACTGTTCTCCCTGCCGTAGATGTGCATCAGGGTAGTCTTTATTAACGTGGGTCCCTATGATGTTTTCTTATCCCCGCAGAGCCGCCGCGCTTGGTGCACAAGATGCCCAGAGCTGCAGGTGGTGTGTGCTGGAAGAGCATCCGTCGAGCTCCTGCTGCTTTTATTGCACATGTGGTGAGAGCCGTAGTAGGCAGGTTGTAAGAAGGGAAAGATTTAGATTGCAGGTGCATAGAAGAGACAAGGCTTCCACTTGCTTCTGCTTTCTATGCAGTTGAGAACCAACCCTTTCCTCACCTTTGGGTTGCTTGAATTCATAGTGTGATTTTGTTTGTTTTTCCTAAAAGAGCTGTTTTTTGTTTTATTTTGTTGTTGTTTTTTCTTTTTCTAAAAGAGCTCTGGGTTGAACATCTAGAGTGGCAAATAATCTGAAAAATCAGGTTCTCTCTATTCCTAGTTCTCTGTTTTTGACAGTGTTCTCCATTATGTGACTGTGAAAATCAATTAGTGAATTTGTGAAGCCTTCAAACCCAAAGCAATAATTGTTGCAAAACATTTTGAGGAAATCATAAGTCATCTTTGGAGTTGGGTTTCAATTACGTTCAATAAAAAATTTTGGGGGCTATAAACAGAAACCAAGAGCTGCACACTGAATATTGTGGATTCAGTGAATACTGATCTTTTACGCTGGAAGGCAGAATAAATAAAAGGAAACAGAAGGGGCACTAAACACACTTTTTTTTAAATCCACAAACATGATAATGCATCATATACTTCAAGTGACTTGAACGTTGCTAATGTTTTAGCAATGTTCATTACATACCAGGCTGCAAGTACAAAAGTAAACAATGATTATACAGGATATGCAAATATGAGAAATACTTTAAAACATTTTCCTTCCTTAAGGCTACTCAGATTTATAAATAGAATGATAGATGTTTGGCTGTTTGTCTAAAATAGCAGAATCTGAATATTGATATAAGATTGACATAAAAAAAGATCACGTACACTGGATATTCCTTTCCTTCTGGATATCTTGAATGTTGATTCATATCTCTTTGACTTTAAAAAAGAACTTACATATTTGTTTGCCACAAGTAAAACAAACACCCATAATCTGATGTGTGTGCACTGCAACAGGTATGTTGGATACAATAAATACTGCTCAAAAGCATCAATTGACAAGTACATGCTCTCGGGAAGGATGCAGCTAATGGTGCTTATAAATATGGCTCTCGCATATGTCTAAACTTGCAACCTTGAAAGGCAAATCTTAATGGATCTCTAACCCCAAATGTACATATATTGTTACTGTGCTATGCTACAAAGGGACAGTCCACATACATTGCTACTAAATGTATGTTTTATAGTTATATGGGAAATAGATGGGAAAATGGCAAACTGCTCTGGCAAAGTCTGGTGCTGCCTTTTTTTTTTTTTTTTCCTGCTTCCTATGTTGCAAAATGCGTTATCCTGAAACACCTAAAAATGCTTCCAGCCCAATCCCAGTGTGAATAGGCAATCCAGGTGTGTGTATTCCTTACTATGTAAAGGCAAGTGCAATAGTTAAAATTCGGATTGCTGTTGCAAGAGATGCACCATAGTTATCCCAGGTGAGGAAGAACAGATGATTTAGATTAAAACATTGAAAAATGTTTCTACTACCATAGTATTTAACAGTATTAAACGGGAAAATACAGATTTCTGTTATCCTGAGTTAATGGGTATCAACTCTGGAAGTTTTTTTAGGCAGAAACAGTTTTCAAATACTTTTTTTCTTTTTTTTTTTCCCTCTGGCAATTTAAAAGTTTGTCTGTTTCTATAAGGTACATGATACTTTTACCTCCTGCCTTCAAAATTACCTGTTACATGTGTGTCACCTAAAAGGAGGTGCAACATGACACTGAAGTGTCAGTAGATTGAGGTAACCCTGGAGGATGAGACCTAGAGGCAAGGAGAGAAGGGATTTCTGAATCTGCATTCTTGACTCAGCCAGCTTGTTTCATCAAAGCATTTTCTCTAGTACTTTTAAATGCATATTAATGTCTACAATATGAAGGTAATTTGCAAAATGACTCTTACAAATTGGCTACATCACAGTAAAACTGCCCTTCAGATGACTCACCAACCTATTTACCCTTCTCCCCCAACACAAATAACATCCCATAGTTCAGTTCAGACCTCTTTAAGCATTGCCTTAGTACTGGCATATCCTTAGTTTTGAATTTGTTGTCAAGGACCTGTGCTCTTATTTGATGTGTTCTGATAATTTCAGAATACTTTGCAAAGTGGAAGACTATGATGCTGAGCCACAGGAAAATTATGACTTGCCAGAGATTATGGGTTAGTACAGAGCTGCAATTAGCTGCTGTTAAATACTAGGTCATAGGGTCTTCTCTTGTGTTCCGCTAGTACAGGTTACTTAATGGGAATCTTTCCTCAGGTATTACACTATAGAAACCCCTATGATATTTTAGGCATTTTTCCTAATTTCTGTTTGTTTGCATTCATCATTATTTTAAAGCGTGTATGAGAACGTATGGATTCTTTGTGAAGCTCACGAGGGTTCTCTTTGGAAGGCTGTGGATAGACTACATGTAGATAGCACTGCAAGACTAGCACACTGAGTTCCTTACGTGTCACAACTCTTGTGTTTTACTGCAGGCACCAATTAAATATAATGGACACATTACACAAAGTTATCCCTAGGCTGGATATTATCTTTTGCAGATATGGGATGTAAATGTTACTTTGTAAATCCATTAGTGTCTTGGGTAAATCACTGGTTTCTTAAGAGAATTTACTAGCAGTCCTCTTGAATACCATTTCAAAATCTTCACCAAGGATGTTTTGCTGTGGCAGGCAAAACAGTGAAATCGGAAAGAACACCCCGTAGCTTTCAGCCTAAACTCATTTGCTGTTACCAAATACACAAAACATGAGAGTGAGGAACCAAAATTGTTCTGCCTTGCCTAGTTTCCTGGTTGCCTTTGAGCTTTAGCCACAGGACTGCTTTTCAAAATGAAAGTTTCCCTCTCTTACTACAAAGAATAAAACAAACACCTTTAAAGGCAATATTGCTTTGTTAGAGCAGCTTTTTAAACTTTCTTATGCTTCTACTCAATTTGCATTATTTGATATCTACTCCTAGACTTAAATCACATGTAAAATCACATACAAAATCAGAGGTGCATCCTTGTATTGATTTCTGAAAACAGAGCTTAATCTTTTGTAGATCTACTTTGTCTTCAGCCTTTTTGATGGCTGTGGAGGTAATAAACATACACCAGGGGCAGCGTAGGGTAAATTCTATGCATGCTTTCTTGCCTTTTCCCATCTATTTTCACACAGCCATGTGTTTGAGTTTAGCTTTATTTTAGATACTAATATTCCAACACAAAGCTATTGAGACTGTGTTGAGTAGCAATCTGTTTCTGAAAAGCATATACCAGCAAACTTGTTCACTCCACTCCTTGCAAAAACTTTTTTTTCTGTGAAGAAAACATTAAAATTGATAGCTTTCTGATTTAGATTTTCTACCTCATCATGAGCCAAGTGAGCACGTTCTGGTTCCTGTTGGAGACTGTAGTAAGAAAATGATAAGAAGGAAGCCCACATGCTCATCATAGCTCATGAAGAGTGACCAGGTACAGATAGAAGTTTTTGGTTGGCGGCTTCTTTAAGTGAAGTTTCAAAGGACTTTCTCATCAAGTAGTTTGTTGATACCATCACAAATCTTTTTGAGGTAAGGCTGGCAATCCCCATCAAGGCTGTACAGGGCAGTCAGAAATTCCACATCTGCAAAATGATTGAAGACATGGTTGATACGCCCATGGGACCTTGGTGTCAGGTGCCGCTCTACTAGTTCATGCACAAGGTCTTTGCATTCATTCAGAAGTTCTGCAAGAACATTTCTGTCAAATGTGTATTCTACCTCATAGAAACTGACAATTGTCATGGCAGTTTGGTTCAGCTTCTTCCTGAACTTGTCTACAATTTCCAGCTCTTCTTGGTTGAACTGATTATTTCGATAGAGGATCCCAATTTTTATTGCCACTTTAATCAGGTCCTTCATGATTTTATGAGCTTCTTTTTTGTTTCTTGTGTGCTCCTTTGTTACTTTGTACAGCTCATCAAAGATTTCACTGCTGGTGTCATCGATCAGCATGTTAGCCATGGTTTTGGTTGCCATTTTACTCAGGATCTTTTTCTGGGCTTGCAGTGCAAGATTCTTGGAACTGAAACAATCAGGACCTGTTTCAAGATAGGAGAAAAGAGGGAAAATGTTATTTTACTTTGTGAGTAATTTTCACAATCACTTATGAAAAGTAGTACTCGGCTGCACTGAGGCCTAGGATCAATAAATACAGTCAGTATTATAATAATGGGAATATTTCCAACACTATTTCCAGGTGTCTTCAGGGTCTCCGGGATCAGCATTTCAGGCTTTTTCCTAGTTGTCAGTAAGATTTTATTGTTGTTTATCAATTAACAGCAGAATATTCTGAGGGGAAAAAATCAATGATAGTTCTTTGCTAGTCTCAATTTTTAAATCTAAAATCAAAATTTTCTTGGCAGATAGAAATGTGCTTAGAAAGGGAAATAAGCTATTAGATGAGTGAGATAAATTACTGACAAATACAAGAACTGAAAGAATTATACTTCTGGTCATTGGGAGTCACTGTTGTTCCACGGTAAGACTAAGCAGCAGCATATAAGGGCTGACAGAGCAAATCCATAAATTTCTAATAACTATACCTACATATTGAGGGGTTTTGTTTGTTAAAATTCTTGAGTTTGAATTTTGTGGATCATTGGTGCATTAGCATAGGTGATTCCTGCCCAAAGCAATTACCTGAGCTACTTGCTGTGCATTCATCAAATAAACATGAGTATCCTGGATTTTCATTTATTCATCCATGTAAGCTTCACTCAGCACAGTACATAAGTATGCAGTTAATTTTTGAGCATGTGGCTACTCCTGGACTTTATCCAATGAAGTCTGTAGTTATTACTTGGGATTAATTTTGACCTTTCTCTGTCCTTCACATTAACACTGGTTTTTAACTGACCCTGTGTAGACAAAGTAAAAGAAATAAATTTCGCATGAATCAATTATCCAGTTAAATACTGCAGTAGGGAAGTGCCTGTCGGCTCCAGGAGCATTTCATCATTATAGCAAAACGGTGATGAGCGATGCTTGAGTCTGAGACTCCTTCCTGCCGCTCCCCTCGCGTCTCGCCTAGCTGCCTGCTGGGCTGCAGGCCCCTTCAGGTGCCGCAGTGGAGTCGGGGGCTCTTCCTGTGCCAGGCGGGAGAGCCCAGGATCTCTGCGGACCTGAGTGGGGAGGGAGGCCGCGCTGCTTCCGCTGCTCCTCCGGCTGCGGAGGAGTTAAGGCACGGAGATTAAAACACCCCAGGCTCTCCAGCGCTGACTTCATTTTGGAGCATGAGTAGGGCTTAGGTTGGTTGGGTGAGCTCATGAGGCCCTTTCCAGCCCTTAGCATGGGAACGCTCATCCGCTAATCACGCTGCCATTCTGATGTGTAGCTGTGATCTGTGAGGGAGTGTGGCAGAGCCCAGAGACCCATCCGTGGCCTTGCTCACACTGCGGTGGTTTAACCAGAGGCTCAGGGGTCCCTCATGTTGTCTCATGAGGCAAAAGCGACACTGGGCACCAGTGCTCTCTGCAAATAAATCACATTGTGAATTGAAAGGCTTCGGATTAAATGAGATTTTTTAAAGTTAGTGAAAATTCCACGCTAAAGTGGTCACCTTTCCTTGTGTGCTGCCACTATACTATTAAGCAAAATGAAATAGTAACATTTAATTTTAACAGAACCACCACCTGGAAAAAATAATTCAATATGCTTAAAATAATTATCTGTCATTTAGAAGGAAAACTGTGGGCCTGATCTGCTGAGTAAAGGGCGTACAAAAACTATGATTTAATCTTGAAATGATAAAACCAGGATGAAATAATTTTTTCACTTTGCAGTACATGGGTATCTAAGTAGTATCCATGATGAATAATGCTGTGTATTGGCACAGTAAAATGGAAGATTCATGTTAGTGTGTTTCTGTAGTGTTTGCAGATGCAGTGGCTGCTGTGGATGCAGTTGTTTGGTTTCTGTTCTGAGCAAAAAATAAAAACATCGTTGCAGCAGGTTTTTAGAATATTAACACTCCTGATAATTTAGTTTCCACTTTCCGTAGGTGATAGTCCAAATGGCTCCCCCCGTGTTTAGTTCTTAGGACACAGGGTGCTTTGCCAAAATCATTGTGGGTCCGTGGCTTGAAGCAAAGGCTGAAGCAGCAGCATGCAGAAGTAGGTAGCAAGTGAGGGCGCACGTCCTGCAGTGCCCGCAGCGAGACAGTGCAGGCCATGGAAGGGCCAGCAGCCACCAGCACACTCACACACACGCGCATGTGGCTGCCTTCCCCTGCATATGATTTCCAAAAGACAAGATTTGGTGTAAAACTTCTGATGAACTTATCAGAAGTAAGTCTACAAAGTGGATGCAAACAAAGCAGCAGGATTCTGTTTCTGCCTCTATACTGGATTCAAGTCCTGGTTCTCATCTATAAAATGGAACAGAATGTTAGCTTCAAATGGAGCTTTCCTCCCCGGGGATGACACTTCCAGGTTTGGTACCTTGATTCCACGACAACATGTCTTTCTATGAAAGGCCCAAGCTATAAACCGGGCAATACAGCCACAGAGAATTGAGTTTAGTTTAACTAAATGTTAAAGATGGAACAGTTTCCATGGATGCTTTATCTTATAAACAGGTGTTGCAGCCTGCTGCAAGTGTCCCCAGCACGAGGAAGAAGCCGAGAGGATGGGAAAGGATGATGATGGGTGCATCACATCTGAATAGCAGGAGGCCACCCGGGTATCCAGGTTGGTGCTCCGCAGAGGGCAGCCTGTGCCCTCCGCCTGCCCAGTGTCTGTTTGGGCTGTCGGGCACCACGCGCATGGCCAGGAGGTATGGAACGGGTGTTGGGCCCCGCGTGGCCTGGGCAGCGGGGTGGGCTGTCTGCAACAGGCCGTGCTCAGCTCTCCTTTGGTTCTGGGCACGTGCAGTTTCGGAGCAGCGTGACCTGGAAGAATGCAGAGACTGGATTGTTGTGATTCCTGCCTCTGAAATCACACAGTGCTTAGGAAGCAAGGTGATAACTTGCTTTTCAAAGATTGCAAGTAGACATATGATTAAATTCAGGCTTTCATGAGGACTGCAGGTTTACTGTAGAAGCCTTTTCTTGCTGCAATACAATGCTCTTACATAAAATACAACTTCTCTGCCTCCTACATATGGCAAATCTATTTTCTGCTTTCTTTCACATAACAAATCAGGAACAACATTACAGATGCTATTAGCTTTGAGGAACATTTAGAGAAAAAAAAAAAAAAAAAGCCCTGAGCTTTGCAAGGTAACGATCAGCTTCTATTAGGATTTTTGGCGTCTTAGCTTTTCCTAAAGTAGGGACTCGTTCTGTCTCCGTATTTTCTCTCTTGCTTTTTAAATCCCCTAATGACTTGTGTATCATAAAAGCTATTCAAAAAGCCACGTGATCTTCCTTCCTACAAAAGTGCAGTTCTTCAGAGCTGTATTTCTGCAGCTGTCATATCTGAAACCCGAATGGATCCCTGGCCAGCCATGGGTGAGCTGACCTGCATCTTGGTAAAATAGGCACCGATGTCTCACTTCACCCAGTAGCGGAGATGCTTAAAGGAAGTGCAGAAAAATTTGCAAATCTAGATAGAGTTTTATAACTTTTGAGAGTCTTTCTGAGTATAAGGTAAAATATCTGTAATGTTCTCAGTATTTTGATTCCGGATGGTTATAAAGCATATGAAATGGTTAGAACTAAATGCTCTGCAATTCTGCTTTCATGTACATATCCATCCATCCATGATGTATACAACGCACAAAGAGGATGTGCTCCCATGGTTGTGCACAGCAGAGAGCATGTAAACATGGTCATGGAAACAAACACACTGAGCACAGAGTCCATTTCATTCACAGTTAGCCTAATAAAGTTCTACAGCCAAGGATATTTTCTGCCTAGGCAAAAGGCTGGAAGATGTGTTGAAAGGAGCTCTGAGATGAGAATTTAGAGTAGGAGTTAATCTGCAGTTTCTGTGGAGGTGGCCATGTGTGTTTCCTTACTGTATTGGCAGGCTTGCTCGGAGAGGACGGAAAGAGAATGATTTACCTGTTTTTGTCGCACTTGCATAATCAGGTTTAGGTATCTGGCACTGGCAATTGTTACTACAGTGCCCAGTGCACTCTGTGCTAATTTATCAACTACCTTAACTGTTGACTTCACCTGCCCAAAGGCTGCTGACGCTTGCAGCTGTGTCACCTCCCCTACACCGTGAGCGCTGGCCCTGCTAACTCTCAGCTGGTGATGCGCTGCACTTTCACACTGCTGCACATCTGGAAGTGCAGAGGCCAAGAACATACTGAAGAGGTAAGCTGAGCTACCGTAAATCGAAGAACTAAGCTGACAGCATGAGGGTGTCACAGGACCACAGCCGGCTCCTGCGGCCTGGCAGGGGTAGGAGGAGACTGGAATGGGAACAGGCCCCGCTCTGTGCTCCTGCTGTGCTATAAATAGGCAAGGGGCTGCATCTCTCCCTGAAGGAAAGGAAGGTATGCAGGAAAGAACAGGTAACGATCAGGAAGTGGAATTATTTTTAATACTCCTGAATCTTCCATTTTCAAAACAGTGCAGTCTCTGCACTAAGAGACAGGCTTTAAAGGGGTCAGCAAAGCTGCTGGGAACGTGGGCAGCCACCCACACTGCCCGCTGCTGCAGGGACGCCAAGCCGTGCGGCAGGCGGGCTCGGCAGGCGGGCTGGGCTGCAAGTAGCTGCACTTTGAAATCTGTGTAAGAAACATGCCCAGCTGAGCAGGAAGAGGAGTGTCCTCCTAGTCTGACAGAGAGTTTTGACATGCACATAAGAATGTGAGGCAACTGTTTCATAAGGCTTTTACAAAGAGTTAAATGAGTTCTGTATATCTAAGTGGTCAATCAAAAGTTTATTCTCTTGTTGATGCTCCACTGGGCCTGCACTTACCTTCACTTCTAAATAGTTTATAAGCATAAATAACCTTACAGGAAAACAAGAGCAGGAAGTTTTATTAGGCTGTTAGGTAAAACCAAAACTGCAGAAGGACAAAGACAGGGTAGCACAAATTTGGAGAGGGGAGTTTATGTAAAACCACAAGCAACAACAAATTGCTTTGCTTAATTTGCACCAGACACAGACAAGATGTTAAGAGTCACTGAGCTGC